TTTGAAGCAGTTGGTAGGTTTACTATATATTTTGATACAATGTAACTATATTTGTGATTTGAAGGAATATTATGACGATCGATGATTTGATGCGATGTAGAGATATTTTGTAATTTGAAACAACGTACTAAATTTTATTATTTTATAATATTATCATTATTGTATTTCTATTTAGAATTTTTAATTTGAATTATATTTAATAACGCACTAAATTGCTTAAATATGGCTCGAAATGTACCTATGTCGTGACTTAAATCATGTTCATTTTATAACTTCAACAAACTAAAAAGAATTCCTTTTATTTGTTCATTTTAACAAATTAATGGAAAATTATTTTTATTATTTTTCAAAATTGTTAAAGTATTAATAATTAAATTTAAAATTTTAAAATGTAGTTAATATGAGTTAATAGTGTATAAAAAAACCCTTAATATATGATTTCTACGAGAAATGCAACATGGACTAGGTAAAGGAAACATTTATGAGTATTTCTGAGTAACAAAGTTTTTCTAGCGCGGGTGAATTTCATAAATGATCACATAATTGTATATATTCCTTTTGTTCCATTTTAATTTTTTTAAATTATTAGCTATGTTCATTTGTGGTATATATTTTCTGTGTGGTTTTTAAATATACAAATTTTATTTTTTTAAGAAAAAATTAAGCAATTTATACCTAAATATAAGATCAAAGTGTTTTAACCTTTGTACTTCGAAAACTACACATAAATCGCTACAAAGTAAGTGTCTTTTTTCACGTAATTATATTTTATTACATAAAATCACAAGATTCTTCTCACAATAGATAATAGAATTATTATTTTTACAATAACCAAAAATATAGCATTCTTCTGCACAGCTTAAATTTATATTATATCACCCACATTTAACTCGTTTTTTTTTTTTTAATTTTGTCACGTAAACGATTGTCTTTTAACGTTGAAGACTTATCAAGTGTACCTTTGTATACTCACGGTCTTACAATAATAATGTCATATAAATCATAGAATCCATGTCACAATTTTTTTTATGTATTATTTAAAGCTTCGTGATTGGAGTACTTTGTTTTTTAGAAGTAAATTACGCATAATATAGATGATGGTTTTTGTTGTTTCAGCTAAGCAAAGATGATTCAATTTAACCAATAAAGTAGGGTACTTCTTCTTTCATTTAGGTCAAATATTTTTTTTTCACTGATCAAATTTTCTATTAAAAAAAAAGTGATGTAGGAACACATTATTTATCTGAGTGGTTATTATAATGAAAGAATTGTTTTGCGGTAATTAATAATTCTTTTGGATATAACAAACAAACTAATTTAAAAAGTTTATAATCTTTCAAAAACAATGTCACTTAAGTGTATATAAAAATAAAAATAAAAAAAAACTCCATATTTTTAAGCGCATTTTGTTAGATTACGAATCTTCATGATTGTGCCCTTCTTTGCTAGAAAGTTGGCTTATTGGTTCGGCATTCTCCAAATGTATTTAATAAAAACATTGTTAATATTCGATAGATATATTTATTTTTTTAACCTTCCCTAGGAGCTCCCACTCCTTTTGCTCCCTTGGTGACTCGCACTCGCAACCTTCGGGTTGAAAGTGACGGGTGCTTACCATTCGAGCAACTCCCTCTCGTCAATATTCGATAGATATATACAATCCTCAATAATAGCTCTAAGAAAACGATATTGTATGTCTTCATCCTGAATCAGTTTGATAACAAATAGACAATTTGTTTCCACCTCTAATTCTTGGTAGCCCATTGTTTTAGCTATGTTTAGCCCTTTGTTTATGCTACTTAAGATTTAATTATTTCTATACTCAAACCAAATGGGTGGGACTCGAGCAATACGTGTGATAAAGATTGCCCTCATGTAATTAAACATTCTCTTTTAAATCCCTTTTTAATAGCTTTATGATTTCTTTATTAATGGTCGGTTTTCTTCTTCTAGAAAACAAATATTGCACTAAGGATTAGTTTTATTCTACTAATTATAATTATTGATAGGATTGGGTTATTTATCTACTAGCTACTTCTCTTCCATCTCACACTCAATTAATAGAGATCTTACTATTCCCATAATCTCAAGAAATTGAGTGCAATCTATTTTGGATTATAGTAACAATATTATACTCTCTTTTTTAATTATTATTATATGCAAACTGGACTTTGATGGAGATCTACATTGATGAGGTTTCTTTTTAGGTTAACATGCTTTTTATTTTATTACAAATTATGAATCATTTTGGTGTTTTATTTTTTTCACTTTAGTAGTCCCACATAAAAAAATTAATTGGGTTGGTAACAAATTGAAAAAAGTGGTGAAAAGCAATTAGCAGTTTTGATGATATGAACAAGGCTAAAATCCTGATTTATATTAGTCTTTTAGAATTAGAATAAAGGAGATTATCTCCTTATAAGGTTACAAGAAAATTATATATAGTAAAATATTAAACATGGTAAGTATCATATATGGTATATACAATTAAAAAAGATCCTATACTAATTAATATTATGTAATTAACTATATATGATAGGTAGAGATTGTAATTGATGTAATTAACATTTTTAAACTTGCGATATTTTGTTGGTGAAAGATTTATTAGAATAAATTTTTGGAATGATATTTTCGAGCCATTTTTTTAATTTTCATTGCAAAATAAGAAATTGAAACATAGTTATACTCGATATTGAAATTAAACTATGGAACTTCTTGCCAGTGCATGTTCCACCTTCTAATAAAAAATAATAATCTGATTAAATGTAGAGTTTAAGTTACATTCACATTCAAGTATGAAAATTTTTTACACCATCAAATTATCAAAAAAAAAAATTATTGATAGTTTTTCATTTAATTTTATAAACCTGAGCATAAAAAAGTACTTAACGATATTATATACATCATACATACTATACAAATATGAATTTTAAGTGTGTGACTCACCACCATGTGTCTTTGATATGATTTACCCCACCCCTAACTCCAAACCGTTGGACTAAACTCCATTTTTAGAATTTACGAGGAAATTATTAACTCTAACTATCTAATGCTATTTTTATAATTTATCACAAAATTATATGATTTGAAGCTTGCATCAAATTCTAAGTCTTTTTTTCTATTCGAATATTCTAGTATGAACCAAAACATTACCTTAAAATCGTTCTCACCCTCCTTAATTATCATGGAGTCTCACACTCTCAATTACCCTAATCCGTGGTGGTAAATGATTCAATGCTCTCACCCTCCTTATCATGAAGTTTCACACTCTCAATTACCCTAATCCGTGGGGGTAAATGATTCAATAATATGATTTCATCTGTATTTGTTATCTTTCACCAACATAAATATGAGATAACTTTTGCCTACAAAGGTAAACACATAAAAAGTGAATATATCCACTTGGCTTTCCAAATTTATATACATAATCCTAGTAGCATATTATATTCAAGATTGAAATGATGATAGCTTCACGGATGTTCCATACATTTCATTGGCCTACAATGCAAAGACAAAATAATCCCACAAATATAAGAACCATATCTCTGAATCTAACCCTACTGCTGGCCTCAGTTCATAAAAGCAATAAATGTATGTTTTTAAAGGTAACAAAAGAATCCATATTTTTATTGCAATTATCTCATTTTGATTCTCTGGCCTGTTAAAAAGGATCCAAAGATCAGAAAAAAAAAGAATTTAATCCAAGTCATCCGTTAAAAAGTAAAGATCAGCATAAACAAATTGATTTTATCTAGTACAAAATTTTAATTTTACTTTTTTTTGGGGCAAATCTACAAACACAAATCGAATGAATGATTATTTGTTTGTCCATTTGTTGGGTACTTAGGCATCAAATGCTATATGTATTTGCAGCAAAAAGAAGATTTCTTTTTTGTGTTTTCTTTAGTGCACATGACTACTAGCTAGGCCCCCTTTTAATAGGTCCCAAACACTAAAAAAACAAGTCATACTTAACTTTTTTTTTCCCTTTGATATACAAAAAACATGCATTTTCTTGAAACTTAAACGTATCTTGTGGACCACGGACGGTACTAGAAAGGGTCAAGCCTTTGGCGAAAAATTACACCATATATACATGAAGACAATATATATATTTATATAAATAAATATATTTCTAACTTTCTATTGTTGGAAAAATAAGATTTCCAACATCTATGAAAGGAAACTAATCAAACTAAATCAATTAAGAATCTGCTCCTATATATAATTAAGTTAACTATATATGGAAGATACAATATTTTCTGTAACGCTTATATATAATTAAGTTAACTATATATGGAAGATACAATATTTTCTGTAACGCTTATATATATATATATATATATAGTAGATGTTAAATCCCTTTTAATTTAGCCTTTTCATGTGTTTTTACTTTTTATATTTCGAATTCGCTTAATGAAAAGTCTGGCTCTGCCGCTGTTGTGGACTCATTAGATGCCATACATACCTTGTGCAGTGTCCTTTTTATTCAATCTAAATAGGGATACGCAATGTTTGCCTTTCAACAACAAACGGGTATTCCACTAGTAAGTAACCAAAGGTATTGACCAAGTAAGATAGAAATTAATTAACCCAATACATGGAAAACTTATCCTTAAATCATAAATGCTAAAATAATATGTTTGATGAAAAAAGTGAAAAAAGGATCTGTTAAGAAAAGTTCAAAGATTGAGGAAATCTTTCTTTTCTTATGACTTTTTCTATTCAACTTGTCATATGTATATGTGATGGCTGGCTGGCTTTATATATAGACTATAGTCTTATATTATATTACACTACTAAACTAAAGATACCCAAACAAAAGGGAACTAGAAAGAAAAAAATACTTCAAATTCTTCCACTTAAAAGTAGCTAGTCTTCATACGGTTTCTTTACCACTCAATATAAGTTGACTCTACCACTCATTTAATCTTTAAATTTCCTCCTCAATTCTTCTTTCTTCACAACCAAAAAAAAAAAAAGAGATCTTTCTTCCATTTTTTTAAAAAAAAAAATTATTGAAGAGATGACATGCCAGAGCTTAGTATTAACTCGAAAAACTAACATTTTGTTCGTAAGAAGCTTTACAATTTTGGTACTAATATGGATAGTTATGAAGCCAGAAGTTTGTTTCTCTAGTGTCCTGTCTTCATTGAAGGCTCTTCATCTACAAGGCTATATAACTTTTGAAAACAATGAATTTGCATCCCGAGATTTTGGGAATCAAATTCATTCACATCCTTTAGCAGTAGTACATCCGAAATCTGTTACTGACATTTCAGAGATAGTAACACATGTCTGGCAAATGGGCCCGGCCTCAGAACTGACCGTGGCAGCAAGAGGCCACGGTCATTCTCTTCAAGGCCAGGCCCAAGCGCGTGGAGGAGTTATAATCAATATGGAATCATTACGGCAGGATCAAGAAATGCAAGTTTACTACAGAGGAGTACAATTCCCTTATGTTGATGTCTCAGCTGGTGAATTGTGGATAAACATATTGCATGAGACATTGAAATATGGATTAGCACCAAAATCTTGGACTGATTATCTACATCTTACTGTTGGAGGTACTCTGTCTAATGCTGGAATCAGTGGACAGGCATTTCGTCACGGCCCTCAAATCAGTAATGTCCGCCAGCTGGAAGTTGTAACAGGTTTGAGATTTTTTCCAAAACTAATTGATTTTCAGTAGGACTAGCACAAGATTCTTTTTTGTCTGATATGATATAGTAGTTAGTTATTGAAGACAATTCTTCAATAGTACAAGTTGGGAATCTGACTATTACTTTCAACAAATATCAAAATTTCAGCACGTGACCTAATTCGACATATCATGAATTGGATTCATTGCAGGAAAAGGAGAAGTCCTAATTTGTTCACAAGAACAGAATGCTGACCTCTTTCATGCTGTTCTTGGAGGACTTGGTCAGTTTGGCATAATAACTAGAGCAAGAATCTCACTCGAAAGAGCCCCGAAAATGGTAAAGAGCAGATACCATAGAGTTCAAGATATTCATGTTTTCGAGTTTTATTGAACATGTGTTTCTTCATTTATTCAACAGGTGAAATGGATAAGAGTGTTGTACTCTGATTTCTCAACATTTGCTAGAGATCAAGAGCGTTTGATATCTGCATCGAAAACATTTGATTACATAGAAGGCCTTGTGATTAAGAACAAAACAGGTCTACTGAATAACTGGAGAACATCTTTTGACCCTCAAGATCCTGTTCAAGCAAGCCACTTTGTATCAGATGGAAGAACACTCTATTGCCTTGAACTAACCAAAAATTTATACCCCGAGAATTTCGATACAGTAAATCAGGTAAGACATGTTCATAACTTGAAACAGGGCTAATTTTTTGATGAAACAATTCTCATATAAATGCTTGTTGTTTTCATACAGGAAATTGAGGACTTATTATCCCAACTAAGTTATATTCCATCAACACTTTTCATGTCAGAAGTTCCATACATAGATTTTTTGGACAGAGTTCATGCATCAGAGCTAATACTTCGATCGAAAGGACTTTGGGATCTTCCACATCCATGGCTAAACCTTCTAGTCCCTAAAAGCAAAATACAACACTTTGCTAATGAAGTTTTTGGCAACATACTAAGTGATACCAACAATGGACCTGTTCTTGTCTATCCAATTCATAAATCAAAGTAATTTTCCTTTTTACATAACGTTCCGCGTGTACATAAGAAATCTACTACTTCTTGTACAATCAATTGACATGTTTACTTTTTTTATTTTTTCAGGGTGGATAACAGGACTTCATTTGTTTGTCCAGATGAAGATATTATCTATCTTGTGGCCTTTTTATCCCATGCAAATCCTTCATCTAATGGAACTGACAGTTTACAACATGTTTTAACTCAAAACAAAAGAATTTTAGACTTCTGTGAGGTATCACACCTTGGAGTCAAGCAATATTTGCCTCATTACACAACACAGGAACAATGGAGGACACACTTTGGTCCAAAATGGGAAGTTTTTGTACAGAGGAAGTCTGTTTATGACCCTTTAGCTATGCTTGCTCCTGGACAGAATATTTTCCAAAAAGCAGTATCAGTTTCATAACAAATGTTGTTATTTGAAACTGATAGCAACGGCTAATTCTACGTTAGGTAAATATGCAGCACGATCGAATAGAAAATGAATACTACTTGGTTGTAGCCAATGTAAAATGTGAATAATAGCTATTAACTTCATATATTTCTTATGCCTTTTCTGCACATGTAAGTTTAAGAGAAGGCTAGCTAGATTCAGTAGCACTTCAAGATATATAGATTATTAGGCAAAAAGTATTGACTCAAATGTATGAATTCTTTAATTAATACTCATGGTATTGTATCTCCTGTCTTGATTTTCAAGTGATCTGATACTATAAGAATGTAATTTATGGAGTAAAATCAAGAAGACGATTCAATAACCTCGAAAATCAAGCATTCATTAGCACTATAACACATTTCAAACAGGACTTTAACCTGCATGATTTCATTATACAGCAATAACTTGAGAAGCACAATCACGAGATGACACAACGATGCTTATGATAACGTTATAAGTTAATAAGAAGAGATAGTAATTTCTCTGAATTATTACATCTACATTGCAGAGCAATAACATCATATCTATTGAACTAATTAACATCATTTGTTTGTTTTTTATTTTTAGTTAATTTGTTGGCTGATGTCAAGTGGAAGATAATAACATCGCGGACAAGGGGAAGATTGCACTTCAAAGGGTGAAAGTAATTGCTTCAGACCATATGGACAACACAAGTTCAATAGGTTGAGTCATATCCGAAAACAATAACAAAGGAGGATGGATAAAACTCTGTTATCCTTTCTACAACAAAGAGGACCAATATCGATAAACATTTCTTTTTCTTTTTCTAAATAATCTGATAATAATTTACGCGATCAACGTAGATGATGATACTTTATAGTATTACACAGTTGAAATCTTAGATCAATCAAACATAACAAGAATGGAAGAGATGAAATATCATGCACTAGAACTTGAAACATAAATAGATGAAGCATCTATAATCATTTTGAAAGCTTGATTAGTGTATAACCACAGGAAAGCAAGAGAAGAAAATCACAAATCTATGATGTTATTGTCCCAAAAGAGCCATAAACTTAGGCGTTTGAATATGCGATTTCATCTTGTGAGATAAGATCAATATTTGGACATGCAATTTTATCTCATGATTTCAAATCATGATATAGAATCTCAAATTCTCCAAAAAACTTGATTTGAGAACCTCGATTTCACATTTTTCAAATACAAAAATTGTCCCACTAGTTAATAATTATTTTATATCTACCAGTTAACTACCAAGCATTTGTTTCATACATAAACAAATTTTATAGTTGATATTATTCCTGTAACCAACCTATAAACTATTATTGATGAACAAGACTTCAATAAAAAGTAAGAGTAGTATGCTACAATTCTTGTTAAATTTTACTTTGTTTTTGAACTAAAGTTCGATCAATAAATGTTGTATTTTTTCAAATAGCTTTGTAATATTATAGTATACTTTTGTTATGAACTTTTATTTATTTGGTAAGATTGTATAAAGAATTGGTACAATTTTGATAGTTTTCACAACTTATGAGTTATTATGTATTTATGAGCAAACAATACAACATTAAAAATTCAATTATATGTCCAAACAAAACTTCGGCTTCAAATAAAATGGTCAAACTAGCCTCAAGTGTTGCAACCATGTTGACATTTAATTATCTCAAATAGTTTCATAATAATGCAAGGTTCTGTTTACGAACAGTAATATTCCCCTTGTTCAACTAAAAAGGAATGGTTATAATAAAGCATAAAGACTTTTGTTCTGATCAGAACGTACCAAAGCTTTAACTGATTTTTCAAAAATTAGTTAGAAATTAGAATCTTCTGAAATAAGATCACAATCTTTGTTGTATAATACTCAAGTATATAAAAAATTCTTAGGGTCAATGAAGCCAGAGTTTGATTTATATATGATAACAACAACAACCACACCTCAATATCAAACAAGATGGGATACTCACACTTATCAATCCTCATTGACAAGGCATTGCTAGTTCTTCGTAAGGGGGTTCAATTGGATCCCCTTAGGCGAACGATACAAACAAGAAAAAAATGAACCTTTTTGACTATATATATATAGACGGTTGAATTTCCTTAGTCTAAATAAATTGAGATCGACCATATGAAGCCTTTACTGATATGAAGCCGTATATGCAATCTTGAGCAGATAGTAGTTCCATTCCTCTGGAATATTCCATCCAGATCCAGTGTATACCCTGTTAAATAGTAAAATCAGATATTCGCAAATTGGGCGCCATCCAAAAAACAGTGTTGACTAGTATATAGTGATGAACATGATTGAACAAATTCAATGGTTATAAAAATGAACTCTTAATACCATATAATGTTATTAGATAAGATTAAAAACGACCATATAACTAAATTCTAACTTGTTTGGAATTGAAATTTAAGGTTGTGTTTGATACGAAGGAAAATGTTTTACCTAAAATAAGTGAATTCTTTACTTATTTTTTAGTATTTGATAAATAACTAAAAAGGAAACATCTCAAGAGCATTTATATCACTATTAGAAACATAGGTTTTCCGTCATAATTAATGAAAAATTTATGCTATAAAACGTGATTTTCTAAAGCACAGGAAAAATGCATGATGCTAAAATACTGAAAAGCTTCCTAATTTTTCCGTATGAAAACACTATGTATTATTTTTTTTTTCTTAATTTTTCTATCAAAATATCTGTAGGAATATAATTAACCACTAAACATTTTTCAATGAAAAAATTCAATGGGAGAATAATGAATGTTTAGTAGTGTATGTAAGCTAGCAAAATATTATAAGGTTGAGGAGTGGGGGTGGCATGATCAAGATATGGGGGTTGGGGGACGTTAATTTATAGAGAGGAGACCATAAGCTTACCTATAAAACTTTGTTTCCTCTACTTCTATTAGAAAAATAATTGTTCTAATTTTTTTTAAAAATTGTTTATGAAAATATTCTTACCAACCAAACAAAGAAAAATGTTTTCATCCATACCAAACAGGGGCGGAGCCGGCATGTTCTGAAGAGGTTCGTCTGAATCTCCTTCGGCAAAAAATATTACTCTCTCTATATATATAGTTAAAATTATTTTTTAGATATATATAATAGATGTTGAACCCCTTTGACTAATTTGTGTGTTTACTTCTTCAGATTTTAAACCCCTATTGAAAATCCTGACTCCGTCACTAATACCAAATGCATATTCCGTAGTAGTTGTTGTTGATAATTAATGTGAAGGGTCCGTCAAAATCTCTTTCCATGGATTTGTGGTATATATGGAATGAGAAGATACGATCTTTCCATGGATTTGTGGTATGGAATGAGAAGATACGATCTTTCCATGGATTTGTGGTATGGAATGAGAAGACACGATATTTGCATGAATGGGCCGGTGGCATGAAAGGTAGCCATTGAAATGCATGTGAAGAAGTTTGAAAAAGTGTTGCAACTTTAAACCAGAATTCAGACTGCCCCATAAAAGGAAAATACAGTAAGGAATATATGAACGGACACCATTATGACAAAACTGACTCTTACAATTTACATCCAATCAAGATTCCAATCACTCTTAGTGACAGCAGATCTAAGATTTTTATCAACTGAGTTCAAAAACCTAAAATTTGAACTTGAAACTTTAAGGGTCTCTTTGGAAAGCCACCTCGTAATTGAAATTGGTGTAATTACTAGAGTAGTAATTGCACTGACTTGTTTGGTTGCCACAGTGTAATTGCACTGTAATTACACATGTTCTGCTTAGATGCCACAGTGTAATTACACATGTTCTGTTTGTTAAAAATAAAAAATTAATTATTTAAAATTTATACTAGACAAATAAGATAAGTTATAAATGACATTAACTTAAATATTTAAGATATATATTATTTTTTAAAAATATATTAATTAATAAACATATTTTCTTTAACTAATATTATGAAAAAATAATTGATTTATATTTTTTCAAATTAATATATTTTAATTGAATTGATCGTAAAAACTAAAAGTAGGAAGTTTCTACGAACATCGTGAAATGAATGTTTGATAAAAAAGATTAATATATAAATAAAATGTCATAAATTATTAAATGTTTGACAAAAATATAATCTATCAAGTCTAATTAAAAAATGACGTGCAATGTGAATTCAATATTACTAAAACAAATGAAACTGAAAATCGGAAAAAACTTTATGAATGGGGTAAAAGAACTTGGGATCATTGATCTCTTCCTTAAAGATTGGGATGAGTCGATGTCGGTCGATGGTGTGAAAACACTTCCTGATGTCGAATTCCAAAAACCTGCGAGAGGTTCCCCACTCTTCTTTGATCCGTCTTAGGACGGAGTGGAAGCCTCGACCCGGGCGGTATAACATAAGTTATAAATTCAAAACAAAAAATTAACATAATACTATTATAACAAATTTCAACATAGAATGCATAAATATGATTTATTTTTATTTTTTTCTTAATAAAGAAAACGTAAGTCTATATCCTTACTTAACAATAAATTCTATTTTAATTTAAAAATTAGAATACTTATAAAATTATGCTAATGAGAAAATAAGCATGGCATAAAAAAAATAGATAATATAAAAAAATTGCATAGAAATACGTAAAGTAAGGTTGAGAACAAGAAGAAAATGAAATATAATAATATAAAATAAAAAATAAACTTTTACAAATTTTTAGAATAATAAAAATAAAAAAAGAACTTAAAATAATAGAAGTAAAAGAAATTAAAACAAAAAAAATAAAAATAGAAATAAAAATAAAAAAAATAAAAAGTAATCAACTAGTAATTACACCATGTAATTTACCAGCAATTCACAGTCTCTACCTGTGAATTGTAGAGTGTAATTACTCCCTGTTATTCTGGGATTGTTATTCCACTTTTAATGTGAGATAAAAATAATACTACAATCTCAGGATGATTAATTTTGAGATAAGTTATCTCATAATTTATCTCAATCAAACATGGTATATAAATTCAACCTAAAATTAATCTGGAAATTAAGTATTCATATTATCCCTTGTACCAAATGAGTCATTAACACTTCTAGTCATATATATCAGGGTGCCTAGGGATGAATTTGCTCTGAAATTATGGAGCACGTGAATCTATGATCTCTTCGCCAATCTAAGTGTTTTATTTACATATTTTTCTAGAATTGATCTAATACTATTTGTTG